CGGCAAGAATTGTGCAGCAGTATCGTCAGGAGGTTGGAATTCCTGCCATGGATTGGCCTGCAAGAAGTCCTCACCTCAACCCAATAGAACATGTTTGGGACATCATAGGCAGACGACTACGACAACTACCTAATGCATCAAACACATTAGGTGAGCTGTTTTTGCGGTTGATTGAAATTTGGGATCAAATTGTCAAGAAGAAATCCGAACGATTATTCTCAGTATGAGAGATCGTTGTCAAGCAGTAATAACTGCCAGAGGAGGCAATACTCGATACTAGTACACGGTACTAGTATTTTCTTCAACTTTAAAAATTTCAATTTTGTCATTAATTTATAATGTTGGTTTGTTTAGATCAGTTGTTTGTTTAGATGTTTAGATTTATGATGTTATATTGTTAATTTCAATACATTTTTTGTAAAAAAAGAAAAGTTTTTTATTTAAGGTGTTCTAAAACAACCATAAAGCAGAAAAGAACAAACAAAAATTTTTTTCATTATAACTCAAAATAAGAATTTTAAAATTATGCGTTAATTTTGGAGCGCAGTGTATTTCAAATACTTTTACAAAATGGTACCCGTCCGCCACTTTGAAAGATTTCGTAAGTAAAACAAAAAAAATCAAAATGAAGGTACCTTAATTAAGTGTTTTGTTCAGAAAATAATTGGGGGTGAGGTGGGTTTTATACGAACACACATATTTATGATTAAAAAATTGTTTTTATTTTATGTTGTGGAGTTAACTGCCATATTGAGGTCTTTGGATTCAGAATCGGTTTTGGGGTGTCGGCACATGTCGATCTTTAATATTTCTGAATAAATAAATAAATAATTTTATACACAATGCGTACATACACACTGTAAAACCAAATATAGATGAGGCACAAGCTACTGTGAATACAAACAAGTGTAGATAAAGAGGATTAGATGACTATCATGAACGAGGCAAGTTCCAGTACATATAAAGTCGTTTAACTGAAACAATGTTCTCAGGAATTAAAACCTAGTAGATTAGCTTCAAGTTAAATACTTCTTCAAGGTTACCTAAGCAGTGAAAATAGTGGTTGACATTTAGTATATCAAACTGAGAGGTGATGACAAGTTTTTATTTAGAAAAGGAGAGCTTATCGGTTATATATTGTAGCCTTTTGACATTAGTAGTACTCAATCATTCAGTACATAGATACGACAAGAACATTAAAAGCAAACCAAATATCCGAAATCCTAATATACAATTAGCATTTAATGTTCATTAAGCGAGGAATGTCTATATGAGATGAAATTATTCTAGAAACAAATCAACATCAGAACAGAACTTTTGAAAAATGGCTCAGTTTATACTTGAACTTAATTCACCTACGTCGTGTCCTCGTCATAAGAAACGTTTCACAGAAAGATACACTTGAGCGGACTTAACAGTATGTGAATAGTGGTTTAGATAAAAAGATTTGTTTAGTCTAGAAACAACTCCAAAATCAGTACCAGAAAATAAACTTCCTGCAATGATACGAAGACTCTGCAATGAACTGTTGTTGCGCAGAAGCATGTCATTTTTCGAATTGTCTTTAGGCATAATCTGAATTGATTTGAGTTCCATGGACCAAATAACTCCAAATGTCTTGGTAAATTAAGCTAATAAAGTACTTTTTGTTTTTAAATAGATCCCTTAGGATCAAACATGGCACAATATGAAGCAGTACGTACCTTAAGAGTCTTTTATTAATTTAGGTTTATTGCAATTTTAAGCAAGGCTTACTTCTTAGATATATGAAAACACTGGATATGTGCAGAATTGCCAGAATACAGATCATAAAACATACAAAATATAAAAGAACTAAAAAAACTTGTGCCTCCAGTTATTTAATATTTCCTAAAAACTAAACGTACTTAAACTATTGTGAAATTCGAAAATAACTTACAGGTGCCGTTTTTGTTCTAGCTGTCATTATGATACTATTTTCCAAACTGATACAACAGCAAAGCAAATCGTGTTTTTAATAAATCTCATCTAAACAATCTTATCACCAAATAATCTCTTGCAACGCAAACATTGTTTCAGACTTCTAACGTTTATTATAAATACTTTTTGTCATTACTATTTAGATAGCAGTAGTATTTAGATAGTTTAAATGGAATGTAAATAAATATCATTAAGATAATGATCCATAACATAATGTTAATAAATACTCTGTATTTACGATGACTGACAGTCCCAAAGATTTACTAATAGTAAACATGAATAAATTAACGATTTAGCTGCGATGTGATAAGAAATATGTCCGGTCTCAGCTAGTTCTACCAGGAAAGACCAATTTCTTTAAATTTTTCTACATATATGGATCAAACTTTATTTCAAATTTAATTTTAATGAAACATGAAAAGTAATTCGGAATATGCGAGGACACCTCATACATAAAAATTGTATGCGATATAAGGTTTTAAAAAATGATTTATCAAGAGTTTAGGCTAATCAAACGAGTAAAAGTAGCTGCACATATGATAACAGTAAACTCTTTTAAGACATGTTGATGATTCAGAGTAGGCTTGTTTTAGTTTTCCCAGGACATCTTAGTAACTATAAGGTGAACGAAAAACAGGAATAACTGTCATATGACGGTGACAATTAAGTTCCGAAAATTGAGTTTTAACTCGGGAACTGCAAACACTGCGTCATTACTATCCATGTTTGGAAAGGCAAACCTTTCTTTAGTTTCAATCAAAGTTTGACGTTCAGAACATGTTTAAATAATTGAAACAGTTAAAGGAGAAGCACCTGAGAGCAAACTTTTAGTAGATACGAGAAGGAGCCTGACAACGCAACAGAACAGTACCAAACCCACCCTATAACCCAGTGATCGCCCCCTGTACCTTTTTATTACCCAAGACGAATATGCACCTCAAGGGAATTCCTCATGGCACTGTAGAGGATATCCAGGCAACTGCTTATTGCACGCTGCACGCGGAAGAGGTGGAACATGTGAATACGTCTTATCATGTGAGATAGGAGTTAACTAGGAAAATCTGAGTCGAAAAAAAAGAGGCATTGTAGGGGACTGTGTGATAAGTTGGACGAGGACATCTGGAGTGAAGGGTATAAGATTGAATTAATCATTTCGACAACTGTACTCCGTAGCGGAAGCGAAAAGGCGTATGAACTACGCGCCACTGCCTTTCTTTGCTGTATTTACTGCTATAGTTTGCTCTAATTAAAATAACCTTAAAAACACGAAATGCAATGGTTTACAGTTTTTACAAACAAAAAAAATCATATTTAACAGAATATCTTTGAATTCAGTCTCAATATAAAAGTCAAATATGTGTTAGTTCAGTTAAACGAACAAATGCCACGTGTAATCTACTGGGATAAGCTGCCAAACTAGTCAATTCCTTGTAGAGACAAATTAAATATTTTAACAGTCGATGAATGCCTTTAGAGTAAATTTGCAAATGGAATTAAACGTACACCACTACACGAATTGATTATTCAAATATTTAGTTTCATTTTAGCTAAGTGCTAACATAGCACGACGGATTTGTTCGTCTATATATATAACACATTTTAACTACTCGTTCGTCGTTATGGCGAGGTATGATGCATCCAATGCAAGTAAAACAATCAAAGTTTGTCACATTGAAACACTTTATCAAATAAATTTTGATATAATCCAAAAAAGAAATAATATATAGTCTTCTATAGCGACAGTGTCCAATTTTACAAATATTAAACGTAGATCTCTTTAATGTGCTCATTAAAGTGCTTCCAATGTTTAAAATATGAATTAAACACTAGCATACGATGGTCTACTTTATTGATGTATTAGGATAGAAACTTATCAAGCACTTACTTCTCAAGGGTTAGTTCCTATTAAAGTTAATTGCCACAATCATCACATCATGCTGGCTCAACTGCATAGCATGTCGATGATTTTGGTGCCAATTTGTACATATCCTACTCAAATTATTAGACTCACCATAAAAATTTCAGTTTTTTGAATATTAAACACCTTAAAAGTATCTTCACAGCGGTACAGAGCTGTTCAATATATTAGATAAAAGTTAGTAAATAAGGATGCTACATAATTAAGTTAGGATTGAACTTTTTGATTGAATTGTCAAAACCTGACAGATAGTAATAGAATGTGCTAGAAGTGTGCAGTAACTCGACTTTTTTCGACTGAATTTAAATGAGTGATTTGTGAGCAGGGACTGTAATTTCTGTGAACCTGGCTCATAGGAATGTATTTTTACATGCTAATTAATACAAATAAAACAATGGACAAGTACTGCGATTGCAAAGAAATGGAGTCACACCACGCCATAATGTGCAGTTAAAGCAAATCAAGTATAAATTAATACTGAACCAATTACTTTTATCACTGAGAATTTATTAAGATGTGTTAAAAGTGTGGGTTTAGCTGCAAATGTCAAATTGTAATTTATAGTTACAATAAAAAATTGTCATAAACTCAGCTGTACTCTACTTATATGTCTTTAAATAATGTAAAGCATAAATAGTTGCATTAATAAGCATAGATAGCTTAGTTCCTAGACAATTTTGGAAAATATCAATAAAACTACTCCTAAATTTATTGAATATTAGGTACTTAAGTAAAATTTAAGTTTATAGTACATTTAGGTAAAGATAAATTTTATTAAAATAGTCAAAATTAAAGAAAAATGTACTATAAACTCAAGATTAAAATGGACGTACAACATTTAGTTACTTTTGTTACATTCCATATATGTATATTTATGTACATCTCCCAAATTAAAAACTCAAACAAATAAAACTGGCGGCTCAATGATTAGGGCAGTTTTCAGATAAGAAAATTTGTAACGAAATTGAACAAAAGGTAATTTGTAAAACTGCATTATGTGCGTATGTATGTAATGTCGCGAAGCTTCAAGTGGAAGATCCCTTTCACATCTTTTACTTGAACTTCTTGAATGAGCAATGTCAGATCTTCCACATTATTGAAAATTTCTTTAGTAGGACTACTTTCAGGCAAAAAATTCTTTATTTGTTGTAGCTCTGCTGTACGAGTTTGAGTTTGGCGATTGTTTGGGATCTCCTACTGCGTATGAACCTTCATCCTTTTTGCGCATTCTATAAACGATGAACATCACCACTAATATTGCACATAGTAATCCAACAACAGCGCCACCAACCACAGCTACAACAAACACATATATTAATTAGGTCATCATTTATTTAAATACATATATTATACAATACAAATTTTAAATTTAACATCATTAAATATATTCGAATCAGACTAAATAAGGTTTTAACAGGAGCGCTAAAATAACTGTCAAAATATTTAAGTAAATATGGCGTTCACATACTGGCTCTACAAAAAACAAAGCAAAAAGGAATTGAAGTATAAAAAATGAGTAAGAGTAGCCACATAAAGGTATCGAATGACCCTTATATTACACATTTAAAGTATTAAGAAATTATGTTCACGCCGCAGTTAAAATTAGTGGGGTTCAAATTTAATTGTCTGAACAGCGACATTGTTGCAGCGATTCCAAGTACTAGAATTTACTATCGGTACAGTTCGACCTCAATCGGTGGTATTCTTCAATGTAAATTAATACAGTAGAACCTGCTTAATTCGAACTTCGTTAATTCGAAATCTTCTTAATTCGAATTTTTATTCTGGTCCCTAGCATTTCCTATATAAGTAATGTTAAAAAGTCGTGGATAATTCGAATTATATTTTGGATAATTCGAACTTTTCTACAAGTTAAAAATGCCAATTTCATGCTGGAAATTTCCGCTAAAGAGGTAGTATTCTTTTTCTGTTCTAACGTGCCACTTGTTTCAAGGCCATTGTACATTGTACCCGTACCTGTCACCTCAATTCCAGCCCATCTGGCACGCCCTTTCAGTTGAGATGCGTTGGCGTTGCAATTGCAATCACCGCAATCTAAGTAAAGAAAGAGTAACTCTCCTAATTGGAGAGATCATGGCCGTCGTCAAACATGGACGGATCAGAAAGACTGCCTCTACTGATGATTGGCAAGTCGGTAATCCTTTTGTTTTAAGAACGTCAAGTCAAAACCAGTGGAATATGTGAGCAGCGCAGGAGCTTGGATGACTAGTGATCTTTTCGAGAACTGGCTGAAAAAATTAGACAAAAAGTTCGTAAAAGAAAAAAGAAAAGTTATTTTGTTTATTGACAATTGTACGGCACACACCACTATCCCACTGATGGAAAATGTAAAAGTTTATTTTTTTTTCCTGCTAACATGACTTCAGTTCTCCAGCCTATCGACCAGGGTGTCACAAAAAAAATTTAAAACATTTTTACAGATGTTTTGTGGTTGAAAACATATTGATGGAAGATTACGACACCCTTAAAATAAAGTTAGACATTCTACAAGCATCTCGAATGTGTAAGAAAGCTGGGACCAAGTAACACCCGAAACGATCAAACACTGTTTCAAAAGAAAAAAACTGGTTTCATAAAAAAGGAGGAGAACACAGTCGACAATTTAACAGAAGAGCTGCTTTCAGTTGGCTGCTGGGGGACATCATTTCTGATCCAGCCATCTCTTATGAAGATTTTGTTAACGTGGATGAAGATGTTGCAGTATGTGGTGAAATAACCGATACAGAGATCATCGCTGAAGTGCTTAAGGACAGTGATGAAAAACAAGAGAGTGATGAAGACGACGCATCATCAGTTGCGGGAGAAATACATGTTCCGAGTGCGGCCGAAGCAACACACCATATTACGCAACTTAAAACGGTACTTTGAAAGTAAAAATGATATAAGTCACTCTCTTAGAATCGTTTGTCATTACCGAGAAGTTAAATTCTAAAAAGCAGCTAAAAATTTGGATTTCTTTAGAAAAAATTAGTCTATTTTCATAATTGTAACAAATATGTATTTTTATGTTCAATAAATTTTTTTGAGACAAAATGTTTTATTTTTTTAATGATGCGTTCTTACTGGGAATTTTTTATCTGCGATTGTTTCGGCTAAGATTTGGCCAAAAATACCAATGAGAAAACCTGCAAATGATAAAAATCGACAATAATTGACCATTTGCTATAGCTTGCAAATGATTTAATTGCTATTCTGGCCTAATTTTGTTGGCCCATTTTTTTCGGTTGACAAAATTCGGGCAAAAATAGTAACGAAAACATCTGCAAGCGATAAAAATGGTCAACTATTGTTGATTTTTATCATTTGCAGATGTTTTTGTAGACATCTTTGTTTTTTGTGTATATATTTTTAATTCGAATTTTTGGATAATTCGAATTTTTTTAACGGTCCCTTGAGGTTCGAATTATCCAAGTTTCACTGTATTAGTTATTGGTTGAAGTTTCACAAATTCTAATTTTCGGATTGGATGATTGGATCATTCGATATAATTTTGTGCAAGGTTAGTAAAAGGGAGGTTGCATGGTAACTCTGACATTTGACAGAATGAAATATAACGTGTGACGTCACCCAGGGGGTCAATTTTACGAATTGTTTGAAAACAACATAGGAGAAGTGGTTTGGAGGATATATTTTGTTGTTAAATATCGTTAGTGCTTTAGTTTATGTTAATATCTTGAGATATAATGTGTCTATAGATATTATTGAGTGATTATTAGTATACAACTTGGACCCAAAACTCTTATACAAGTGTTAAGATACATTTTAAGGTGGTTGTGTCTTACTGGATTTTATTTCTAAAGGTAACATTGGAATTAATGTTGGAAAAACATAACTTAATTAAATTTTTTTATTGATTCAGATGACTGGTGGAAATATTTGTAGTGTAGCAATCTGCACAAATAATTCAAAAAATTCCAAAAAGGATAGAAGGAATTTAATGTTTTTTACATTTCCAAAAAATATCAAAATTCAAAAACAATGGATGAGCAAGTGTCTAGGAAGGATAAGTGGTCCTGTTTAAATAAAAGAATTTGTAGTATACACTTTCGCATGGACGATTATGAGGATGCTTTAAAAGCTAAACTATTAAACAGACAACCTAAAAAGCTGAAAAAAGATGGTAAGTAGGTATAGTCATTTAAATGTTTAGTAAAAATGTGTTAATTCACTGACTTTGAGTTATTATTGTGATTGAGTTTTACAAAATAAAGTAAAAAACAAACAAATATCATTAATATTAACTTCACATACTTAGTTGTAATTAAAACTTTTAATTTTAGCAATTCCCTCCTTATTTCTACTGCCAAATGAAGATGGTATACAAGAAATAAGTGTAAGATCAAAACGCATGGCCAGGAAAGATAACAAAGATATTGTTGAACATTTTAATTTTACAGAATACTGAAGAGGAGCAGATAAAAGCAATACAAACTCAGTTGAATCTCTTTTTCAGCATGGTTTACTTGTTTGGAGGAATTTATTATAATCCACTACATGCATTATCCTCAATTCAAAATAATTAAAAAAAGTAAATTGTATTCAACTCATTATTAATATAGTACATTAACATGTTTTAGTCACATGTATACACAAGAAAGAATCTACTTCCAATTTAATATAGTAATGCTATTCTACTACATAGGTATGATTAGCTGCAATAATATTTTATGATTTCTGTAACTCTGCAGGTACTTATCTCCCACATTTTTTAAAGATTTAATGAAATAAATAGTTATTAAAAGTCCAAACGTATTTTTTTCGATATACATAGATTAATATATTTACAATCATTGCTGCTTTCCGAGTTAATTTCAAGGAGTAAAGTGAATGAATTTGAATGTAGCATTCTCAGTGACGTCATTCCCGCCATTAGATTCTCGACGCTGATTGGTGTAAAGTTACCAGACAACCTGTCTATTTTTAATAACCGTGCATTTTGTGTATCGTGTTTTTGTTTATTTACATTTGAGGTTAAGTAGCTGTTTTGATTTTGAGTGATATTTTTTTAGTTTTATAAATATTTTAAATAGTTTATACAGTCTGGGTGTCTACTAGTTCGCTCCCACGGTCAGATTTTAATACCTCAGGAAAAGGTAAATTCGCTCCGGCCATATATTTCTTGGAAAAGATGTCTTCTCAAACTTTGTATACAACACTACCATCATTGTTTAAAAAGAATGAGTCTTTTTTACACAATGCTACTATATAACACTACTCTTAATTTAAAGGATGTCGTTATACCTAGTTCATGATGGAGAAATCTGAAGTAAGTGAAATGTTAAGTGAAAAGGGCAAGTCAATGTTAGTTATTGACAATTACAAGTATAACTTTCATAAAATGCTTGCTAATAATATCAAACGTTGGCAGTGTGTAGAAAGAAGTTGCAAAGTAACAGTGTAGTCGAATGTAGTTATAACCATTCCCATGAAAGTTTATCAGAACCAGTGTTAAGCCGGCAAAAATTAAGTAATAGTGTTAAGCGGAAGGCAATGAATAATTTGTGTGAAAAACCATTGAAGTTGATACACAGCAAAATTAAACAAACATGCACTAAAAGTCTTACTGTGGAAGATGCATATTTGATTAGAAAAAATATTTATAATAGCAGAAAACAAGTTATTTCCAAAATTCCGAAGTGCGCGCAGGAAGTACATGACTCGTTAAACTCCGTGGAAGTGACAACCAACAAAAAAGAACAATTTTTATTGAAAAATGATCCGGTAAAAAAAATTTGTTGCTTTTTCTTGTGTATATTGTGCAAATAAATTAAAAATTTATGTTAATGGAACTTTTAAATACTGCACCAAATTTTTTATTCAACTATTTAGAGTTCACGGACTCGAAAATGGACACTATGTGCCGTTGGCATTCTTTTTGGTTTCAAATAAGTTGGAAAAAGCGATCCATACAGCTGTAAGTAAAGTGTTTCCATATGCGAAAATAAAAGGATGTAGGTTTCAACTCGGACAATCATGGTGGAGAAAAATTTCAAAAAGTTGGTCTGGCTACTGAGTATTCAAACGACAATGAAGTCGGAAAATACCTTAGATATATGTTTGGTCTACCTTTCCTAGATCCATTAAAAGTAGGCGAGTGTTTTGCTTTAGACTTTAGTGAAATATTACCAGCACAATACCAAGCCATACAAGAATTTGCTGACTACTTGGTGGACAACTATATTTCTGAAGGGGCAGACTTTCCTCCTGAGATGTGGACGGAAAACAGTTCATCACTTGAGCGTACAGGCCAGGCCTGTGAAAGTTTCCATTCTAAA